CATACATAAATAATTGGGGGTGTGTGTCTTAGTTGTCCAGGATGTCACTTCTTTTTAAATACCACTCTCGTATTGGTGAAGGACTGCAAAAATGGTATATGGCATTTTAGTAGCATGAAACGAACTGGATTATACAATTTTTAGTGGATAAGACATTTTCACTACCTACCACGTTGTCTATAAAAAGATTATTCCACATATTCTTAAAAAAATGTTAGTGAACCGACTTGCTCCGACAATTAATGTGAATTTCTGTTGCTCTCCCTTAACACAAAATTGGAATTCACTAATTTTGCTTTAGATGACTCTGTTTTCGATTTTGATGCCTTTTGAGTAATAAATGCTATAATTATAATGAAAATATACCATAAAAGAAAATTTCATGATCAGAAAGCAATATTCTAACGTGATATTTTTTTTAGATCTATCTTTCATCTCTAACATAATTTAAAACACTTCTATCCTTTGTTCTTATACATTCTTCAGTCACAATTAAGCTGCTGAGCTGTGCCCACCTCCATACATAATAAAGATAGTGAATGACATCTTCCTTGAGTCCATGCTGAACAGCGAGGTTATCTGGGTCTCTTTGGAGATGAAAATGAGCATTCTGCTGTGTCGTTTGTGATTCTTGAAATAAAAATATATGTAAAGCAATGTCAACCTTGGGAAATATGCATTGTATTTTCTCTTCTGTTATAGAATAATAATTTCCTACATGAGTAATATTTGTCTTTCCCCAATCTGTAAACTTAGTTCTCATGTAAGGATGAAATGTTCAGAATTCTCCACGAAGTTTTGTACTGACGTCGTCGGATAACCCTGCACTGAATACTTAGATGCTGTCATAATTCTGCATCAAGTATATCCAAATTGTTTAAGAAGAAAAGATTCTGGAAGAATAATTTCATAAACTTTTGCCCTTTTTTCCAGGCAAGATTCAAGTGTGTCGATGATGATAGTTTACTATGTGGTTACTTGAAACTGACCTCAGACACTGAGTTAGTTAATTGTGCCAGCCTGACCGATAATCACATGTGGGGCTGGTTGAAAGGCGAAGGGATATTTTTATGGGTGGTGAAGTCTCGCCTTTCTAGTTCTCGGGTCTCTTGTTTTGTGATGGTTGCACCGGGTGCAGCTGCCTTAGCAGTTCCCTGCTTCAGCTTACAAGATTGACTTCCTACAAGACATCCCCAAGGAGAAGCTACATGGACCTACCCCGATGCAGCCCTGGGTGCTGGAGCAGCCGTGTGGAGACCCCTGCTAGTGCTGAGATGCTTATTCGTTCACTGACTCAGCTTTCCTCCTGCAGTCGGCATCACTGTTTTGTGAGGTGGAGGACTTTGTGGACTGGTGTTGGGTTAATGGGTTAATGTTGGACTTGTGGGCTTGGGCAGCATTGGGTTGGGATGTTTTCGTGATGCACCTTTTCTTTACATAAAACTCTCTTATACATGAGTCACTGTGGATTTGTTTCTCCAAAGTACCTAGACTAATACAGACACTCACTGATATTTCTGAAGCTCTGCTGTCATTTACTTCTTCTTTCTGGTGTTTCTGCCCTAGTGAACTGTTTGCTACAGGATGTGGCAGTATTTGCCTGACTGTGCTCTTAAACTATGTAAATCCCTGTTAATGGCTGGTAATTGTCTTTCATTTTTAAATCTTGGAGAAGCAGACTCAGATGAAAATGCTGCAGTATATTATTCAACATATGTACATACCTTACAGTTTCATTGTATTGGTTATGGTCTCAGATTCTCTTTTGGTAGACCTTTTTTTGTCTGTCTTCAGCAATGTTTTTTAAGTCACTTAGACTTGTTAGGTGTCTGGGGTGGTTTTATCTCGGGGTGACTCTAGCTTCTCGCTGTTTATTGGCCTACTGTTGATACGCAATAGGGGGAGAGTGATCACAATACAAGTACAAGGGTAAGTTCCAAATGAAGATGTGTTGGTTCACTTTGCACAGGACAGGACAAGATTCAACATGATTCCTGTGATTATGGTGTCAGTGCTGCATCCTTATGTGGATGATAAGAGAGAACTGAATGTGAGATTATATCCAGTTGGTCCGAAAGGAAAAGGAAAATATTGTTACAGTATACAAAATTTATGAAAAGATATCAATTTCATTTAGTGTCCTGCCAGTTCCTTTTCACTGAGATACTCACTTTTTCTTGAGTTCTGTCTGCTTAGCATCAATGAGTCTTTGCTCAGGAGAACTGGTGCTCCCATTTTGTTGATGCCCTAGATATGCTCTTACTTTGTCTACCGGGTAGTCATCCCTATTTCTGGCCAAAGTAGATGTGACATAGGAATAGCTATTGTAATGTGCCATGATTTATAAAAGTAACCATTAAAGACTGGACCTCAGAAATTCCTGTAAAATGGGATCAAGCACAATTTAAAATCATATTCAGTTCTTCTGCAAATGCATTGATGTGGTTGTCCTATCTCAGACAATGTAGAGGGTGGAGTGGGGTTCTCTTTGAAATAATGCCTAAAACAGGAAAGGAAAATAGTCAGAATCATGAGGCCGGCTGAGGTAAAATTCCAGTCATACATAGACTGCCGATTCCTTCTTCTTAGTTTGCTTTAGTGTTGAAGGCCTGCTGAAACCTGTCCAACATGGGTGGCCCTTCTTGTATTTGAAATAACATCACAGCTATAATCAAGACCCACAGCTAGAATACACAGACAGACAAGTTCACAGTATCTAGGTACTTGTTACTTACAACATAGACAATGTCAACATGCTCCAATCCCAGAACCATGGAGTCTACCCTACATTAAATACTGCATAGATATCTGGCAACTTCTGGGGAAATATCTACACCAATATAACAACAGAAGATCAGAGGTTGAAAGAAGCTTGGCTGGATTTTCTCCATTCAGGACAATGAAACCAAAGCCAAGACAGGTAGAGTGCCTGTCTGTACATGAGATAGGCGCCAGATGCAGACCAGGAATTGGGTCTCATTGCCCAAGAGTAGCTCTTTCTGCCTTATCTGATCTCAAGCTCTGGCATCTTACCGGCAACTAGAGCGGATGCAGAAAATTATGTATATGCATCTTTAATTCCAGGTACCAATAAATGCACACAATCATAAGTGTGTTGGTATGTGCCATCAAGTCAATTTCAACTCATAGCAATCCTAGAGTGGAACTGATGCGTCGGGTTTCTGAGTATGTACATCTTTACGGGAAGAGATCATCAAGCCATTTCTCCAACTGGAACCACAGAGTCTGCCGAGCTCCTTCCTACAACTCTAGAAAAGCATGAAAAGCACTACCTACAGGTTTTTAAAAATACAGATTTAAGGCCTGTTTTTCTACCTTTTTACTGTGCCACCTTGGGGAAGTATTTGCCTCTCTGAATCTTCCATTTTTCATATTCTGTCTATACAATAAAGAGATCCATTTAGATGGACATTTTTCTGGTCCACCTCATTTCTTTCTTTTATCCTCTTACACTGCTTCTCATTTGTAAAAGGACAAGAAGTTGTTGTTTTATAAATAAACGAAATCCTCTGTGAAATTCTAGATTATGTAACAGGTGAAGCTGAGCTCCTCTCCTTAAAACTGGTTTCAGTGTCTTGCCTGCTCCACCTTCCCCATACTTACAATTCCTAATTCTGTGGTTCTAGTACCCCATTGCTAGGAAGGGAAACAGGCAGACTCACTTATAACTCCTAACACTCTAGGTCAGACCCATCTCTGTTATGCCATGGACTAAAGAGAAAGAGGTTTGAATGTAGCTGCTCTAACTTATCCACTGAGGGAAAGGCTTGGTAGGGCTCTAGCATGAATCCAGTTCTCTCTCCCAGTTCCAGTGTGTCTCTGGTTTATGGAGTATGGCGTGTTCCCAGAAGCACCTGGGGGCAGCTGGGTTTACTGATAGGCTTGAGGGTCAAAAGGATGCCAACATTGGTTGGGTAGAATTGATTTCCGTTGACCATGCTTCCATTATACATATTCCTCACCCTCCATGGTCAGGTTCCAATAAGATATCCCAGGAGGCAATGAAAGGCAAGACTGGATCTTGTAACCAACATATCTGACTCTTTCAAATAACAGAAGTCATCTTTGTAAAGTGCTAGCTATTTTACAGAACATCTTTAATGCAAGGAGCTCTCCTGGATGTATCCTTCACAGGGACTTTGTGAAAGGGGTTTAAAAGTGAATCGGAAGGTTGGTTATGCAGAATCTGGTCATTCCATGATTCTGTGTGATCGTGAGAAAGGGGTAAGAAAACAGACAGGTTGTGCTACGTGGGCCTTTTTAAAACTTTATTTCGTGATAGCCACACAGCAACCCCCAAATAAAAGTATCCATAAATATATTTTGTGATGAGAAAGTAGAATTTTGGAGAAGCAGCTTACTAAATGGTCATACTGGTAGGTCACAACAAAACTGACTTTGTCCTAAGGCCTTCCAGAATCCAAAGCCTATGTTCTGTCCTTTATATCCCACCCCACCCCCACTCTCACTACGCAAACAAACAGAAAACCCCATATCAGTTGCTATTGAATTGATTACGACTCAGGGCTACTCCTTATGTAGTCCCTAGAACAATGCTCCATAGGGTTTCTGAGGAGCCTTTGGGTGGATTTGAACCACCAACCTTTTGGATAGTAATTGAGTACTTAGCTATTTGCATCACCCAAAGACTTCTCTCTGTATCTCACGTCCCCCAAAATATATGAAAAGTGTAAGACTCTTTTCATCTTTCAAGATAACCATCTGCAATGAATTTAAAAAGAAGTCATCTATTCCTGTTGAGGCAAACCTTTTTTGGCCAGAAGCTGATTCCCCTCGGTGAGTGTTTCATTTTTGATTTACCGAATATTCAACTTGAAAGGGAAGTCTATTGATGTGTCTGAAGCAGCGGGCATGCAAGATGCACAAGAAAGTGTCGCTGTACAAGCCTAAAAGACACCATGGCTTCTTTGAGGGCTCATGAAAGATGATGATCCCACACTGTTTATACTGGTGGCACTTCAATTTGCATTCAGTTGAGAAAATCTGCTGATTTCCCTACTACATCCATACACCACCAGCTTCTCTTCTGCCAGAACCAGGATCTCTGTCTGGCAGCTGAAAATATCATACCCACTCCTCAGAATCCCAGATCTGGACATCTTGTCTACATTCTTAGAGTTTCTCTTAAGTCTGAAACTGGGGAGAACATCACCACGGCTGATGTAATTAATCTTTTCTTTAGCAAAACAAACAAAAAATATCACTCTTTTGATTGGAAAGTGAAGACTATCCAGTTAGGATTCTTGAAGACTGGTATTTCAAAATCCTCGACTCCATCCTTCTTTAGGCAAAATTTCAGAAGGGATCCATTTCTCACTCTCTTTCTCTTTTGTAGATACTCGCAAAATGAAAACATTGTTAGTAGAATCAGTGAAGCTTTCTTTCACGACATTACCAAAGCACCTATCTAAAACATAGACCCAAACACATCATTCGATTATTCATTGGTTTGCTTCTTTTTATTACCTGATGACATTCAAAATCTTTAGCCTGATTTCCAAAGCCTTCACAACCCAGTGGTGCTTGGTGAATGCTGCCTGGGACTCCAACATCAAGGCCTACTGCATGTGCCAAGAAAGAAGAAAGATGTGCTCTTTGTCTAGCAGTTTTAAGTGTGGTGGGGTGGAGCTCATTAACCCTAGATATGGGTGTTTGGGGTGACGTTTGGGAGGCAGTTTGAGGAAGGCCAGGTGTTGAAGAAGGCACGATGCCAGTTGAAGAGTGAAAGAGGAGAAGGAAATGAGAACAAACAACTACAGCGGATAGCACAGCCGTTGGAGGAATTCTGAAAATGTCGGGAAAATGAAACTGCCATGGAGCCTGAAGGGAAGGCCACAGAGAGGAAGCCTCTGCAGGGGTGGTCCTCAAGTCATATCCAGCCCGGGGCAGAGCCGTTGGTGAAGCCTCTAATCAAGAGACCATGCCTGAAAGAAAACACGAGACAAGCAGTGATGGAAAGAGAAGAAGCTCAGAGCGAGAGAGGTCGAAGATTGGAGGGGGTGTCACAGAGGACAACGTTATAAAGCGCTATACTTAAACCTGGTTTTGTCCACTAAAGAGTTGCTGTATCTTACTAAAATTATATTAAAACTATCTCATTCTTATAGGATTCAGGGTAAGTAGGGGATGGCGTTCTATGAAATCAGCCTTTGAATAGCTGTATAAACTCACATGCTAAGACCTGCAAAAGTGTTACCCAGCCTTATCTTGTCAATCAGCTGTGAAAAATCAAGGTCAAGTCGGTATGGGACCGACCTGTCCTAGGCATCACCTGAAACTGAACAGTTTCCACCGCCGGCTGTGAAAGACATTCATATTTGAGATTCTTCATGTGTCAAGACAAGCTACGTGATCGTGCCTTGCTGAGTATAGAAAATGCCAACTAGAAAACTAAACTCACTGTTGATTCCCAGAAGGAACTGAACATTGTGATTCAGAGCCCTTTATACGATAATTTTCATCAGTGAAAGCAAGAAAGTTACAGTCGTAATGTTTCTGTAGTGCAGTGGTTCTCAACCTGTGGTTTGTGACCCCTTTAGGGGTTGAACGACTAACTCTTTCTCAAGGGTCACCTAAGACCACCCGAAAGCACATAAATATATCACAATATATAATTACATATTGTTTTGTGATTAATCACTATGCTTTAATCATGTTCCAGTTGTAACAGTGAAAATACATCTTGCATGCCAGACATTTACATGATGGTTCATAACAGTAGTAAAATGACAGTGATGAAGTAGCAACGAACATAATTTTATGGTTGGGGGTGACCACCACATGAGGAACTGTAAGAAAGGGTCGCAGCATTAGGAAGGTTGAGAACCGCTGCTGGAGTGCCATAATATTTGCAGCAAAAGATGAATAAGATTGACTGGTAGTTCTAAGCTGATAGAGCTGCATGTCACTGTGATTGAGCAATTGGCCACTAACCATGGGGTTGGAAGTTCAAACCCACCAGCTGCTACACAGGAGAAAGTTGAAGCTACCCACTTCTGTAAAGGTGTACAGCCTCCAGAATCCTATAGAGGGTCGCTATGAGTCAGACTAGACTCCATGGCAGTGTGTCTGATGTTATCAGGTTAAACATTGCTAAATTAAGATGGGTGTCAGATGTTTGGACAGCAGCTTCAGTTAAGGGCTTTGTGTAGGGGCTATTTTCCATAGATAGACTCTGTAACAGTGGTGCGCCATACACAAGGCCAGTTATCCATTCTTTGAAGATCCTTCCTGGAATGATGATTAGACTCAAAATGAGTAGCATCTCTGCTGGGAAACTACATCACTAAAGTATCTCCCACTGAGAGGCCCCACCCTGGAGTCTTTCCTTAAGAGACCTTTCTGAGACCAGGAATTTGGACTAGCACAGAGCCATTGTAGATCATGCATCTACTTGGCTGTGCTGAAGGTATCAATTATCAGGCATCAAAAAACAAGAAATCATATCATTGTGTGCTCACCTCCCTGATAAGATCGCTGAAGGCAAATGGGTGCATAAGCAAATGTGGTGAAGAAAGCTGATGGTGCCCGGCTATCAAAAAATATAGCATCTGGGTTTTTAAAGCCTTGAAGATAAACAAGCGGCCATCTAGCTCAGAAGCAACAAAGTCCACATGGAAGAAGTTCACCAGCCTGTGTGATCACGAGGTGTCGAAGGGATCAGGTAGCAGGCATCATCAGAACAAAAAATTACATCATTGTGAATGAGGTGGGGACTGGGGAGTGGATACCCAAAGCCCATTTGTAGACCACTGGACATTCCCTTATGGAAGGGTCTTGGGGAGGAGACAACCAGTCAGGATACAATGTAGCAATGATGAAACATACAACTATCCTCTAATTCCTAAATGCTTCCTCCTCCCCCACTATCATGATCCTAATTCTACCTTACAAATCTGGCTACACCAGAGGATGTACACTGGTACAGGTAGGAACTGGAAACACAGGGAATCCAGGGTGAATGATCCCTTCAGGAACAGTGGTGTGAGTGGTGATACTGGGAGGGTGGAGGGAGGTTGGGTTAGAAAGGGGGAACCAATTACAAGGATCTACATATAACCTCCTCCCTGGGGGACGGACAACAGAAAAGTGGGTGAAAGGAGATGTTGGACAGTGCAAGATATGACACAATAATAATTTATAAATTATCAAGGGTTCATGAGGGAAGGGAGAGTGGGGAGGGAGGGGAAAAATGAGCTGATGCCCGGGGCTTAAGTGGGGAGCAAATGTTTTGAGAATGATGAGGGCAATGAATGTAGAAATGTGCTTTCCACAATTGATGTATGTATGGATTGTGATAAGAATTGTATGAACCCTGATAAAATGATTAAAACAAGCAAACAAAAGAACTGCCCCTGTGAGTTTCTGAGACTGTAACTCTTGATGAGAGCAGAAAGCCTCTCTTGTCTACCTCCGAGTAGCTGGTGATTTCAAACTCGTGACTTTGGTTATTATCAGCCCAACACTATTTTAATTAATTTCTAGTACTCTTTCTTAAGTGTGCATATGTTTGTGTATCACACACACATCTACTCCCAAGGATAAATGCAATTTTGCTAGATACCACCATGTCCCCTTCCTAAAAATACCACCATGTCCCCTTCCTTTATATTCTCACCAGAAACAGGTGGGAGTTTCTGTTTCCCCCCAGACTACCCAACTGAATATGTCAAACTTTGAGTTTTTGACAATCAACTAGGTGAGAAAGGGTATCGTGTATAGTTATTTTTAAAAATTTATTCTGAAATAATTCTAGAAGGAAAAGTTCCCCGGCTTCACACAATGGTAATATCTTACATAACTTTAGTCCATTATCAAAATCATGAAATTGCTTTAGGCACAGTATAATTAACTAGATTATAGGATTTGGTCAGATTTAACCGATTTGTGCATCCTTTCTATTCTGTGGGCATGGGTCTAAAATATTTTATTGCATGTACAGATTTGCATAACTATCCACAACCACCATACAGAACTTATCCACTACCATGAAGGATCTCCTCTTCCCTTAACCCTGGAACCCACCGATCTCCCCATCAATTGTTAAGTTTATTTCAAAAACACTACGTAATGTAAGCATAGAGTCAGTAACTTTTTGAATTGTCTTTGCACCTCCACTCAGCCCTTAAGATTCAACAGAGTTATTGAAAATCAATAATTAGCTTCTTTTTATCTTTCAGTAGTAATCGATCGCATGGATGTGCCAAAGTTAATTCACCCACTGAATTAAAAAACTATGAGATGAAATGGTGTCTTCTGTTGGTGTAAGAAAGGACAGTTCCTTTTGAAAATGATCACTTTCAGGGGCACAGAAATAGGTTAGTGATTCTCTTGCTTAAAAACATCACACACACCACACACACACACACACACACACACACACACACACACACACCAGGATCTTTGACTTTCAAAGCTTGCTTTGTCAGTCCCTCTCTCTGAGGAGTCCCCACTTCAGAAACCACACCTTCCCAAGAACAGCTCTGTTAGTCAAAGTACTTTCAACCCTCTTTCGTTTTCTTTTTTGAAATAGTGTTACTGAGATATACTTAACAATATAAAATTCACCCATATGAAGTGTGCAATTCTATGTTTTTTGGTGTATTTTTGAAATTCTGCAATCATCTCCATAATCTAATTTTAGAACAGTGTCACCACCACAAAATAATTCCATGCCCATTAGT